TGCTCGCTTCAGTGCCTGGCTGCCGGCTGCCATCTTGGCTGACAGTTAATTTGCATATACTCACTGATTAGCCAATGAAAAGGGTAGCGGTCGTACGCTAATTACCATGTTTCTCTTTTATTAGTGTAGATGATGAGATTACCATGGTATGCCTATTTGCCTAATCACTGCAAAGTTATTACAATATTTCTGACTAGCCTCTGTACTATACACTACAATGGATATAAATAATAAATACATATAATAAATATATTAATTATATAATAAATATTTTATAACTGGAAGTTTATACTTCTTATTCAACTTTTTTACCCATCCTCCTCTTCCCCTCCCCTCTGGAAACCATCAGTTTATTCTTTGTATCTATGACTCTGTTTCTGATTTGTTTGTTCTGCTTTATTAGATTCTACATATAAGTAAAATCATATGGTATTGGTCTCTTTGTCTGACTTATTTCACACAGCATAATACCCATCCACCCATGTTATTGCAAATGGGCAAGACTTAATTCCTTTTTACTGCTGAGTAACATACCATTGTGTGTGTGTGTGTTTGTGTGTGTGTGTGTGTGTGTATCACATCTTCTTTATCCATTCACCTATTAATGAACACTTAGGTTGCTTCCATATCTTGGCTATTGTAAATAATGCTGCAATAAACATGGGGTGCATACATCTTTTCAAATTGTTGTTTTAGTTTTCTTCTGATAAATACAGTACATATGTGCAAATGATGTATCTGATAAGGGATCAGATTTAGCTAAATGGTAAAAGGAAGACCTCTGGATGTAAACATCCATATTCCCAAGATGTACTGGGAGCACTTTGCAATAAGGTCTTTACTAACAAGGCTTAGACATCAAACTCACTTGTCTGAATCTTCAGTGGCTCCCTGTTTTGGGCATTTATTGAAGTGCCCAATCATGGATGGTGTGCAAAGAGGAACCATGCAGACAGGGTTCCCTTTTAGAGGGGCAGAAAACATAAACAAGCACTTCTCACAGCATGAAAGCACATTCCAATACAGCAGACTTTTTAAAGAGAATAAACAGATGGGAGAAAGTAAAGATACATTGTTCTGGACTACTTACAGAGCAGTAGCATCTCCAAATTTTAACATTTCCTTCCAAGAATCTGTATCAACACCTTGGTAAATTCCATTATTATTCACCACCAAAAGTACAATTGGCAAGTTGTACCTAAAATTGACAGCAAAATATAAAGAAAATGATTATTCTTTCTAACACAATTTCTTTTCTTAGAGCTGAAATTTTAACTTAAAAATGGATAGTTTTCCATAAACTTTTTTTTGTAATATTAGGACAGAACTAAAAATTAAGTTACTTATTATCCTAATAAAAGAATATCAAATAATTAACAGAAACATCACGGAGTAGCAAAAAGAATAAAACATTACGTGCTGATAAAACTGGTTCAACTATTATGCAACTATGAACCTTGGGCAAATCACTGAGCTTTTCTGAACCTTGGTCTTCATAGACCCAGGTGTTAATAGAATGATGACTTCCATGCCCGATACCTCTGAAGCACTATTTCTAGGTTGTGTCTAGGAATTTCGTTCGAAAGTTATCTTTCTATTTATTGAATTCCTCATAGATAACCAGCACTTGCTAGATGCTGTGGGAAGTACACAAGTGACTAGCGTATATTCTCTCCTCTCAAACCACTTCATCCATAATTGGAAAAACATTACATGGGGTAATACTTAGAGAAAAAGAGAGTATTTAATAATGTGCTAAACAGTATGACAAAGACCAAAAAAAGCTGATTAAACTTTACTAGTGACTGACAAAAGAATATGGACTTTATTTTCTACAGACATACTTTCTGAGATCAGGTGTAAAAACAAAACAAAAAAATCGCATACTATTATGTAACAGGATTGTGGTAACCACCTGTTCTCCACGCTCGAAGGGAATGGCTTTATATCTCAGTGTAGAAGGCTGACTTCCCTGAAAATCATCTTTTAGGTATATATTACTTGGTTGCCAATACAGATACTCTAACAAGCACATCATTTCCCTCTGATCTGGAAAGTTTTATATACAAATACTTTGAAAGTCCCAAAACATGATTTACTAAAATCCTAACAGGAGCCTTGGTTAAGAATATAATTGTTTTCCTAGTTTAAATAATTGGAGAGAAAAAAATCCCTATACTTCTATAGTTGGATCTACAACTTATAAGTTTCTCCATGAATCCTCAAAACTATAAAAATAATCTTGCCTGGCCGGCGTAGCTTAGTGGTTGAGCATTGACTTAGGAACCTGGAGGTCACAGTTCGATTTCCGGTCAGGGCACATGCCCAGCTTGCCGGCTCGATCCCCAGTGTGGGGTGTGCAGGAGGCAGCCAATCAATGATTCTCTCTCACTGATGTTTCTATCTCTCTTTCCCTCTCCCTTTCTCTCTGAAATCAATAAAAAATATATTTAAAAAAATAAAAGCCTGTTCAATGTGAGATTAGTATTGTGAAATCATCGATGTTCTTTTATTTTAAAAAATAATCTGAATAGCTTATTTCACTGAGCAGTCACCTCAAGCTTTACCTAGATCATCCCATTTGCTCCTCACAACTGGCTTTAAGGTAGGAATTATTACTATTCCTATTCCTATTCTAGAGGAGACTGAAGCTTGGTTAAATGACTTAACCCGTCACTTAGCTTTGCAGTGGTCAAGCCAGTATTTAACTTCAGGCCATCTGAACAGAAGTCATGCTCTTAAGCACCAAACTCTACTGTCTCCTGGCAGAAAACAAGCTTTTCTCAGGCAGAACTTTTTCTTTTTTTAATATATTTTTATTGATTTCAGAGAGGAAGGGAGAGGGAGAAAGAAACATCAATGATGAGAATCACTGATCGGCTGCCTCCTGCACGCCTCCCACTGGGGATCGAGCCCGCAACCCAGGCATGTGCCCTTGACCAGAATCGAACCCGGGACCCTTTAGTCCGCAGGCTGACGCTCTATCCACTGAGCCAAACCAGCTAGGGCCAGACAGAACTTTTTTTCAGTGACCTCAAAACCATGCCCCATAGGTTTGTAGGATTTTGGTCAGAAAAGAGGTCAGTAAAGAGGTCAGAAGCATGCTGTCCTGGATGAGAAAGACCCTGGGGTTATTTATACTAGTATCTATACAGTGCTGTGCACAGGGCACCTGACATATGATCAATGCTCGGTAAGCATTTGTTAGGCAAGTGGGTCTTGTTTATAATTCTTTCATATTTTGGAGAAAGGAATGCTCTATTCAGGATGCTGTTTTACCTGCAGATGGTTTCCACTTCCATGCCAGAAAACCCAAATGCACTGTCTCCTTCCACACAGATGACCCGCTGTCCTGGGTTTCTATCTTTAGCCACTATAGCAGCTGCAATGGCAAATCCCAAACCGACTCCCATTGTTCCAAAAGTACCAGCATCTAGCCTATTGGAGAATAAAGCAAAAATGAAACCCTCTAGGGCATGTCACAGATGGTGGGGTTGGCATAAATCTAGACATTCACATGGTTCATGAAAAATAGAGAACAGTAAAAACATTCTCTTTCTTTAATGTAAAGTTTTAGACTATGCGGAACTAATTTGTCAGAGATAAGCAGAATGAGAGGAAAAAGTCACTCATGATTGCTTGTAAGACTGAATATATCCTTAGAACACTGACCACAGAAATTATCACATGATCTTGAGGACATACCAAGCATAAAAACTCTATATACAACCTTACTTAAGAACACTTTTACAAACTATGTCCTTATACACTGAACCTATATACTTCTCAACTGTTTTATTAATCTGCACTACTGAAGTTTCAAATTTAATGTATTATAATTCATTGTAATTTCTTTTTTGGAAACTTTACCTGTGACGAGGAAGGTAGTTTTGAAGCACAGTGCGTCCAATATCCATAGTATTTGCTCCTTCACTTACCACCATACAGTCTCTAGGTAGTTGTTCTTGAACATGGTAGAATACTGTGTAATAATTCATAGGCAAGGATTTTTTGGAAGCTAATTCCTAAAACATTAGAGGGAAGTATAATCAAATTAGATTGAGATGTAATGAAAAACTATACATACTGTCAAAAAGCTACTATCAAATTTATTTGGAAACACGTTAACAACTGCAAGCTACAAGGTTCCCAAGTGGCCACCAATGGCCACCCTGAGAAGTGAATTGATCTATGAACAGTCCTGGGGGACATGCTAAGAAAAATGGGTCCCACGGTCCTAGTATAAACCAGGGAATATCCCTCGTCCTGGACAGCCACAATGCACATTAACATATTAAAACCTGAGAAGTGCTATAGTAAAGACAACTGGAAACACTGGGTTAAACACAACAAAACAGCCCTGTTTGAGCACTTTTAGGGAAAGAAACTCTGCCTTAGAAAAAAAGAAAATTTTATTCTGGACTATTTTCACCTGAAGTATGGCCCAGAGTTTAAATAAAAATGAAGTCAGGATTTCAGAAAATGTGGCTCTTCCTCACATGCACTGACAGTAAAGGGGATATGCTTCACCCACTATTCTAAAGCGTCTCTGAGCTGAGAGAAGGCCACGTGGGGCTTTAGCAGCCACAGTCCCATCTGGTCCCAGCACTGCCTCTTCACCTGTGCTAGTTTGGTCCATTGGAGATTATACACAAGATGGATGATGGACCCTCCTATACTCCTACACCAGAGAAGAGAGGCAACTTCTTTACATCTTAAACTAAAGTGATTCCTAGGGAAAAGAAGGAATTAATCATGATACCATTAAGGAAATTGAAGTGAGACTGGCTCTTAATAAGAGAAACAATCATTGATTAAAATTCAGATGAAAGACAGAATCATGCATAATCAATTCTGCTTGTTTGGAAAATGAGATGACTGACATATTAGGGAACAATATAAGCATAACTCAAATTTCATATTTGCTCATGTATGATTCCATCAGTGAGATACGCTACATGGACACAGAAAACTACACCCAACTGAACCAAGATGCATAGAAATACAAAAAATAGTGAAAAAAATCAGGAACGACCTTTCTTACAAAGAGAGAGCACTACCTATATACAAAGACTTTTTAAAAAAAATATATTTTTATTGATTTCAGAGAGGAAGGGAGAGGGATAGATAGAAACATCAATGATGAGAGGGAATCATTGATCGGCTGCCTCCTACAGGCCCCCAACTGGGGATCGATCCTGCAACCCAGGCATGTGCCCTTGACTGGAATCGAACCCGGGACCCTTCAGTCTGCAGGCCAACGCTCTATCCACTGAGCCAAACCAGCTAGGGCTATATACGAAGATTTAAACAGAAAACACCAAATCCTGCAGAAGTGGCTCATTTTAGTGCTAGTAGTGGATGGTTTGGGTGGTTTCACACATTACAATTTCGAAAGCCTTGAGCTATCAGGCAAAGCCATAAGTGATGGTGAAGAAGTCACAAAAGAATTTCCAGTAAAAACAAACTGAATTAAGAAGACTATAAGTATTGTCACCAAAAAAAAGATAAATGTGGGGTACAGATGCGTTCATTAACTAGATGAGGAAACCCTTTCATAATGTGGATGTATATTAATCACCATGATGTACCTTTAAATATCTTACAACTTTGTATGTCAATAATACTTCAATAAAGCTAAACATTTTTTAAAAAAAGAAGATTGTACATTAGAGAAAAATTTCGATTTTGATGAAACATCTATCTATTATAAATGTATGCCTCGAAGGACTTATATCTTAAAGGTAGAAAAACATACCCGAACATGCCCCAGGATTTAAGGCTCCCAAAGACCGTAATTGTAATTTGATGTTAAGGTCACACTAAGGACAGTAAGCCACACCTGTCCACACAGGCTTTTACAACTTTCTGTCCAATGTCAGCTCACCCTCCTTCCACCACAGAAACTCACAAGGTATAACCTTTCAATGCCTATTTCCCCAAGAAACTTCAGGTCTCTCTCAAGGCAAAGTGCCATATATATTGTGGAATATATATGAAAGACCTCACCACCATTTTTATTAGGTCTCTATTTTAATGCTTCACAAAGTTTTTTTGAGAGCTGTGCCCCTAACTCCTTTTTCCCAATGAGTCCAGGGGTTCTTACTGCAAGATTTTGCATAGCATGGTGATTTTTAGGAATGCATATGCCATGTTATGACAGAACTGAACCATGAACCTGGAGCATTCTTGAGTTTCAGTGGGCCCAGTATTACCTTGGATGCAGCTTCATTGCTCTTCATTTTTTCTCTCAGAGTGTTCCACCATTTGCTCTCTGGAGGATACTGCCACGGTGTTTTGTCAAATTGTTCTAAAAGCTAAAAAACCACAAACTTTTTCTTTCCTTCTTAAAAATAAACTTACATATTACTAACATAAAACTCTCTTCTTAAAGACACTACTACTATACTATCCTGCTCTTCACATCACTCATACTCTGTTTTTCCTCAAGGCAGCAAACAACTGATAGAAGAGAAATAGGTGACATGGCAAGCTTTTGTTTAGGTCAGTGTAGACTTCTGCCAGATGTTGGGATTCCCATAGGCACAGTGAAGAGCCACCTCCCCCACCTCACTGACTAGGGCTATTAAAACCTTCTTGGGTCCTAGAAGGAAAGTCAACCCCTCCAGAGAACCCTTACAGGAAGGCCAACAGCCCCAAATACCCAAGGATTCCCATGATACAAACCAAATGCTCCAGAGTGTTTTAATATGTGCTTGGGGATTGCATCCTAATATTGTATAATCATGATAACAATACCAATTTGTATCCAAAAATCAAGTGATAAATGTGACTATATTTTATCTCCTGTCACAGTGAAATGTATAAATTATGTACAAATAATAAGAATCTGAACAAGTCACTGATTACAGTTTTGAAGAGTAAAAATCTCTTTATGGCCTAAAGAAATGCTAAATTGGATTTTTCCAGTAGATAAAACCACTTCTTGGCTATAAGTTTAGTGCCTCTTATAATTTTTCAGATAGCCGAATCTTACTTAATAAATGACTGTTTGTCTACTGAATGCCTTTAAATTTTCAATCACCTTCCAAAAATGCTTAACTTACTCACATAAAAATAATCCATATATAAGAAGCTGGATTAACGGAGTTCCAAAGTTATATTTAAGGATAACTTTCTATTAGGTTCCTCAAAAAATTAAAAACAGAACTGCCTATGACCCAGTGATTCTACTTCTGAGTATATATATCCGAAGAAGCCCCAAGCATGAATTTGAAAGAATATATGCACCCCTAAGTTCACTGCAGCATTACTTACAATAGTCAAGGTATGGAAACAACCCAAGTGCCTACCAATAGACAAATGGGTAAAAAAGCTGTGGTACATATATACAATGGGATATTACTGGACTATAAAAAAAGAACAAAATCTTGATTTCTGGGTGGGGTGGTGGGTAGAGGTGGAAGATAAATGGTGTATAGGGGTGATAAATAGTGATTTTAAAAAATAAAAATGAAAAAAGAACAAAATCTTACCATTTGCAAGAGCATGGATGGACCTAGAGAGTACTATTCTAAGTAAAATAAGTCAGTCAGAGAGCTATATGTGGAAACTAAAGAACAATATAAACAAATAAAACAGAAACAGACTCATAGATATAGAGAACAAAATGATGGCTGCCAGAGGGGAGAGGAGTTGGGAGACTAGGTGAAAAATGGAAAGGGATTGAGAAGTACATATTGGTAGTTACAAAACAGTTGTGGAGATGTAAAGTATAGCATAAGACATATAGTCAATAATATTGTAAAAATTACGTATAGTGTCAGGTGGGTACTGAAAATATCAGGGGAACACTTTGTAAAGTATGTGATTGTCTAACTATTACGCTGTACCCCTGAAACTATTACAAAATAATATTGAACGTAAACAGCAATTAAAAAAACAGAAAAAGAAAAAAATCCTCCATTATAAATTTTGTTTAAAATAGATGTTATCAGACCTGTCATCAAGTGAATCAAGATTGAAACATTTTAAAGAACTATTCTCTAAAGACCAATCCACGTAAATTAAAACCCAGGCAAAAGCTCTTACCTGTTTAGTGACTGCATTTATATCTCCTAGCAAAGTCACAGCAGGTCTTACATTATTCCCCAGTTCTTCTGCACAGATATCAATCTAAAAAGAGATAAGACTAAGGAGCAAGCCATGTTTATTCTTAAATTCTTTAAGAAGTCAATTAAGGCTGAATAAATGAGCTATGTATACAGGGGTGGGCCAAAGTAGGTAAGAACTCTGTGCAAAGTATGCTTGAGTATAGCAGGTAAACTACAAGCATGTGTAAATAATGAAGGCCGGCAATTTGAGCACTTACGAGTTTATACCTCAGTGCACAGTGCCATTGTGATATTCTTTTGAGTTAATAAAGGTATTATAATAATCATAACCTGCATATCTTTTTCCATACAAACTGTAAACCCACTTTTGCCTACTCCTTTGTGTAACATGATAAAGAAGATTTGATGTTCAAGAAGTTCATTAATGCCTGGCCAGTGTTGCTTAGTGGTTGAGTGTTGACAATGAACCAGGAGGTCATGGTTCAATTCCTGGTCAGGGCACATGTCTGGGTTGCAGGCTCAAACCCCAGTAGGGGGGGTACAGAATTCTCTCTCTCATCATTGATGTTTTTTTTTCTCTCTCTCTTCCTCTCCCTTCTTCTCTGAAATCAATAAAAATATTTTTTTAAAAAGAAGTTCCTTAATAAAAGTAAAAATCCATGGAACTACATGAGTTTCATGGCTAGTATAGAAACCTCATCATCTTTCCTCAATTCTATTCTAGGATTTTGGTATTGTTCCATTATACCCACAGAAATACATGTGATTTGATCAATTATAGTTTTGAATCTAATCAATAAGGTTCTACTTAATTACACTGGAATTCCTATTTAGAGCAGTTCTCAAATTTTAGCATATATCAGAATCACCTGGTAGGTTTGTTAAACTATAAACTGCAAGAGTCCATGTCAGAGTTTCTGATCTTAATAGGTCTTGGGTGGGGCTTCCCAGGTGGTGCTGATGCTGCTGGTCCAGGAACCACATTTTTAAAAAAATATATTTTATTGATTTTTTACAGAGAGGAAGGGAGAGGGATAGAGAGTTAGAAACATCGATGAGAGAGAAACATCGATCAGCTGCCTCCTGCACACTCCCTACTGGGGATGTGCCCGCAACCAAGGTACATGCCCTTGACCGGAATGGAAGCCGGGAACATTCAGTCCACAGGCCGACGCTCTATCCACTGAGCCAAACCGGTCAGGGCTAGGAACCACATTTTAAGAATCACTCCTAGAGCCCTGGCCAGTGTAGCTCAGTTGGTTGGGCTTGACCACCAGTGGGGGGGTGTGCAGGAAGCAACTGATCAATGTTTTGCTCTCATATAAATGTTTCTTTCTCGCTCCCTCTCCTTTCCTCTCTTTCTAAAAATCAATGAAAATATGTATTTTTTAAAAAATAGAAAAGAGCCCTAACCGGTTTGGCTCAGTGGATAGAGCGTCGGCCTGGCGGACTGAAGGGTCCCTGGTTCGATTCCAGTCAAGGGCATGTACCTTGGTTACGGGCACGTCCCCAGTAGGGGGTGTGCAGGAGGCAGCTGATCGATGTTTCTCTCTCATCGATGCTTCTAACTCTCTATCCCTCTCCCTTCCTCTCTGTAAAAAATCAATAAACTATATTTTAAAAAAAACAGAAAAGAATCACTAGTAGGTCAAGGCATGGCTACTTTCCATTTACTCAGAAGCTCAATTTCTGGCTGGCCCTGGGCAAGTAAAAAATAGCTTCTGTCAGGAGGAGTAATTTAGTCAACCCAAAGGGGATGCACTTTATTCTCTAACCAAGAGGCGCAATCAAAGAAGTGGCAGCATTTTCTAGGTACAACCCAAGTTTTGCTTGTTTGTAGTTTTGTTTCTCAATAGCCCTAGGGGGAAATGGACTATAAGAAGTTGATTCCTTAAGTAAAAGGTAAATAAGGAGAAGATAGCAATGGTAGCTGGATCATCAAATACCATACCAATCTGTGTAGGGTGAACAGCTTTGCATGCCACCATGTGGGCAGTACTTTCTACACCAGTAAGGAGTCTGGCTTACAAAGGGGGTCATAACGATACAAGAGTCATCAGGAGTATATTCTAAACACTCTGTTTAATGACATAGGTTAAAGCAGCATTGTTTAGAGATTTCTAACCAAAGATATCTAAAAGTTTGGGTATCTAAAATAACAACTCAATCCCTAACAATGCTAAATGTTTTGTTCTAATCTACCATCCTACTTAAATCTCTTTTGCCTACCTTTAAATATACTTGAACTTTGAGGAGAGGCAAATTATGCTTTTCAAACTATTTAAAACTTGATTTTGAAAGGTTTTTTGGTTAGAAGTAAAGTGGTACATTGTTTCATAGGCTTGAAAAGGCAGCTTGCTTTGGTACCTGTAATTATGTTAGACAATGTATAAAATTCTACTGTTATAAAAAGAGAAATGGTTCTTTATAAAAGCCAAAAAGAGAGCAGAGCTGATAATGGCTGAGAGGGAGAACATTGAACTACAAATAGCTCTGACTTTAAATCTGTCTTCTCTGGGTACCTGGATAAACTTCACATCTGGCTGATATCTTGGAGGCAGTCCAAAATGCAATATCCAATTTAATCTGGCACCAAATAACACGATTACATCAGCAAATTGCAAAGCCCTATTAAAAAGAAAATTTCTGATGACACAAAAAGTATATCCATATTTCTTATTTGATTAATATAAGATTAATTTCTAAAGTATTTGGAAAAGTCTAAATAATTGGGAACTTATATTAGTCTTCAGAATCAGCTTCTATGGTAAATTTGATCTTTTAATCTAAAATAATTTATGATGTCCTTCTACTTAAATAGTAATATAAAAGATGAAATAAGTAGAAAAATATTACCATAAGACTGTATCTATACTCTATTTCATTTATTACTTTTTACCATTAGAAAAATTAATACAAGTCCACTGTGGCTAATCTGGAAAAAGCAGGAAAAGTATAAAGAAAAAAACCAAAAGCACCCAATAATAATATGAACTTATAAACTATTATTACTATCCTGGCATTATTTTCATCTAGCCTCTTTTTCTATGCAAGTATATTGATACATAGTTGAGCTTATTTAATACTGTCTCATGCACTTTTGCTTATATAAACATTTTCCTTTGTCATTAAATTCTTCTTAAATTCAATTAAAGGCTACATGTTTTGCTGAACACATATATTAAATTTATTAACCCTTTTCTCGATTGTTGGATATTTTCTTTGTTATTAATAGTACTGGGTTGCACATTTTATGCTTAAATTAAAAATAAAATGTGGTGTGTGTGTTTTCTTTTATTTTAGAGAGAGGAAGGGAGAGGGACAGAGAAAGAGAGAGAAAAACATCGATTGGCTGCCTCCTGTACAACCCTGACTGGGGATGGAATCCATAACCTGGGTATATGCCCTGACCAAGAATCAAATCTGAGACTTTTCAGTGCACTGGATGACGCTCAACCAATTGAGCCATACCAACCCGGGCTATTAAATCTTAGTACACAATTCATACTGATTCCTAGAAGCATATATTTTTAAGATGACTGATTCACATTTCTGAATTGCTTTAAAAATTATACCAAGTAAATTTCTAATAGTTTTATTTTATAAATCTTATTATTTCTGTCAATATAACTTCTAATTTTTAAATTATTTTTATATCCATACTGATATTAATATAGCCACCCTTGCTTTCTTTTTAACTCATACATCTTTGCTTCTTTTTATTTTGTTTTAGATGTGGTTCTTATAATGCATGTAACTGTTATTATTAGTGATTCAATCTGAATGTCTCTGTCTTTTTCCAGGAGAATTTATTATCATAATTGCTGTGGGTGGTTTTTCTTTTTTTTTAACTTCTTTTCTGCTTCTTGGCTATTTCCCTTTTTCCCTATCTTTTGTCATAGAGAATCTGTTTTTTAGCTTTTGTCTTCTTCGGTGGTATAGCCTATTTTTCACAGAAATTCAGTTATAATGGCTGAAGCCCGGCTGTCTAAAGCTGGTTTCTGGGGTTTTGTTTAGCTTCTATATTTGCAACATAGTTGCTTAGAGTTGCAGCTGAGAGGCCGGCAAGGCAGGTGGGGAACGTTGGAGTCCGCCATCACTGGAGCAAGCAAGCCTCCCTGTTCGCTTCAAGCTGCCTGGCTGCCGGCCGCCATCTTGGCTGGAAGTTAATTTGCATATCTCACTGATTAGCCAATGGGAAGGGTAGCGGATGTACGGCTAATTACCATGTTTCTCTTTTATTAGATAGGATTATTTCTGTCAATATAACTTCTAATTTTTAAATTATTTTTATATCCACACTGATATTAATATAGCCACCCTTGCTTTCTTTTTAACTCATACATCTTTGCTTCTTTTTATTTTGTTTTAGATGTGGTTCTTATAATGCATGTAACTGTTATTATTAGTGATTCAATCTGAATGTCTCTGTCTTTTTCCAGGAGAATTTATTATCATAATTGCTGTGGGTGGCTTTTCTTTTTTTTTAACTTCTTTTCTGCTTCTTGGCTATTTCCCTTTTTCCCTATCTTTTGTCATAGAGAATCTGTTTTTTTGCTTTTGTCTTCTTCGGTGGTATAGCCTATTTTTCACAGAAATTCAGTTATAATTTCAAGTATATATTCAAAAAAGCTATCTTCACAGACTGTACTGGTCATGTGGACCCAATTTAACAAATTGATAAAAACTACAAGTGGAAAAATAGATTTGCTTATAGATACTCTAAAACCCTTGAAATTGTTGATTCAATACAACCTGGCATCTCACAACATAATATTCAAAATTCCAGGATATAATCCAAAATTAATACACACACACACACACACACACACACACACACACACACACACACACACAAATAGGAAAATGTGAACAATTCTCAAAAGAAAAGATAATGAGCCCAGCCAGTGTGGCTCAGTGGTTGAGCGATGACTTGTGAACCAAAAGGTCAAGGTTCAATTCCTGGTCAGGGCACTTGCCCAGGTTGTGGGATCGAACCCCAGTAGGGGGTGTGCAGAAGGCAGCCGATCAATGATTCTCTCTCATCATTAATGTTTCTATCTTTCTCTCTCCCTCTCCCTTCCTTTCTGAAATCAATAAAAATATGTTTTAAAAAAATAAAATAAAATAAATAGATGCTAATTCTGTGATGACATTGGCATTAGTAAAAAAGACTTTCAAGTAGCTATTATAACTATGTTACATAAGGTAAATAAAAATACTCTTGAAATACATAGAAAAATAAAAGTTTTCAGCAGACAAACAGAAAATATAAAAGAGATAAAAGGATTAAAAAGAATTGAACAGATATTCAGGGACCTATAGGACATTATCAACATGGCTAATATCTGTATTATTCCAAAAGGGGGAAAAGAGATTGGTGTACAAAAAATATTTGAAAAAAATCATAACTAAAATCTTTCCAAATTTGGTGAAAGACACCAATTTACAGATTCAAGAAGATCAGAAAACACCAAACAGATAAACCAAAAGAAAACCATGTCCAGACACATCATAATCAGACTGCTGAAAATTAAAGATAAAAATAAAATCTTGCCCTGACCGGTTTGGCTCAGTGGATAGAGCGTCGGCCTGCGGACTGAAGGGTCCCAGGTTTGGTTGCGGTCAAGGGCATGTACCTTGGTTGCGGGCACATACCCAGTGGGAAGTGTGCAGGAGGCAGCTGATCAATGTTTCTCTCTCATTGATGTTTCTAACTCTCTATCCCTCTCCCTTCCTCTCTGTAAAAAATCAATAAAATATATATTTTTTAAAAATCTTGACTGCAGACATAGAAAAACAACATATTACATATAGGGAAACAATGATTCAAATGACTGCAAATGTCTCTTCTGAAATCATAAGTTTCTGGAGATAGTGAACAATATCTTAAAAGTGCTGAAAAGTCTAAAAATAAACAGGTATGTTTAAAATTACATGATTATTTCAGAACTCCTAGATTCATTAAAGTCACATAATAATTTAAATTAGCCTAAAATCTGCCAAGCCTCTATTTACTAGTAATTAAAATCTGGAATGTTACGCACCTGGATCTGGCAGCAGCTACACAGTTTGGATGATTGTCAGGGATAACACCCTTTCCCATGGGGGTGGGTAAAAATGGCAATTTACATTGCTCCACCAATTTCCTGATTCCCTCCTCTGCATGGGCATAAGCAGCACCTATAAGAAATGCAAGTGTATTGGACAAGTCAGTTAAGCTACAGATACTCTGACCCTTAAAACAATTTATGTGAAATTGGCATACAGGAGGCAGTTGATCAATGATTCTCTCTAATCACTGATGTTTCTATCTCTCTCCCTCTCCCTTCCTCTCTGAAATCAATAAAAATATATTCTAAAAAAATATTCTCAATTCTCCTAAAGGATGCTCATAACAAAAATTGCACCTCACATCTTTGCTGCTCTCAATTGCCTGTTCTATGCTATAGTACTACTGAATTACTACTCACAATTCCCTGAACATACTATATTTACTGGTAGGCCCAAGTAGTTAAGAAAGGACTTTGCCCTCCAAAGGGAAGGCTCTCTCTAACCTCACACATTGCTACCCGCTAATGTGAACTGCAATCTCCTAGTCTAGTCATGGACATTCTAACAAGGGGCTCACATTTCTAAAGTTCTGTAGATCTCTTCACAGGTTCTACAGTGTGACTGCAACAGGGCTAACCCAAGTGGGCCACATAGCATTTGTTTTTACCGTGTGTGCCTACAGAATAGCCATATGCCCCATTTCAAACTCACTGAATAGCGATGACTTCATTTCTAATGTCATTAAGGCCACTATATTTTGTTTTATCCACTTGGTTTTATACTCTTTTTCAGGGCTAGTAGAATATTACTCCATATTCAGAACTTACAATCCTCTACTGAATTCCAGTAAATAGTATAGTGTACCTTCAGATTCAATATAATGTTCTCCTCATAAAATTACCGTAGCCCTACTGGAGTGGCTTGGTTGGGTGAGCATTGTCCCATACACCGAAAGGGTGCCAGTTCAATTCCCAGTCAAGGCACATGCTCAGGTGGCTGGCCTGATGTGCAGGAGGCAGCAGATTGATGTTTCGCTCTCACATCAACATTACTCTCTCTAAAACTCAATAAAAATCGTTTTTTAAATAATTCCCACCAGCGGAAAGTAGCGTTGGTTAAAACCCACCAGTCCCTGAAAGAAAAGCTGACTGCTTTCGTGGCCCAGGAGCCCCCCTCTTCTTAAAACCGCCAGCCTTACCCACTAGGCACACCACCTCCTAAGCAGTGGACAGAAGGGGGCATGTTTTCTCTGTGCCAACTCAGAATCTCGTGGAACAAGCAGTGTGGTCATTTGGGGGCTACCAGCTAATGTGAACTGCAATCTCCTAGTCTAGGCATGGACATTCTAACAAGGGGCACACATTTCTAAAGTTCTGTAGATCTCTTCATAGGTTCTACAGTGTGACTGCAACAGGGCTAACCCAAGTGGGCTACATAGCATATGTTTTTACCGTGTGTGCCTACAGAATAGCCACATGCCCCATTTCAAACTCACTGTTTGAATATAGCGATGACTTCATTTCTAATGTCATCAAGGCCACTATATTTTGTTTTATCCACTTCGTTTTATAATCTTTTTCAGGGCTAGTAGAATATTACTCCATATTCAGAACTTACAATCCTCTACTGAATTCCAGTAAATAGTATAGTGTACCTTCAGATTCAATATAATGTTCTCCTCATAAAATTACCGTAGCCCTACTGGAGTGGCTTGGTTGGTTGAGCATTGTCCCATACACCGAAAGGATGCCAGTTCAATTCCCAGTCAGGGCACGTGTCTGGGTTGTGGGGTCATTCCCCAGTCAGGGCATGTATGGAAGGCAACCAATAGATCAGTGGTTCTCAACCTTCCTAATGCCGCGACCCTTTAATACAGTTCCTCATGTTGTGGTGACCACCAATTTCATTGTTACAAATTGAACATAATTAAAGCATAGTGATTAGTCACAAAAACAATATGTAATTATATATGTGTTTTCTGATGGTCTTAGGCGACCCCTGTGAAAGGGTTGTTCGACCCCCAAAGGGGTCGCGACCCACAGGTTGAGAACCGCTGCAATAGATGTTTCCCTCTCACATAGATGTTTCTCTTTCTCTCTTTCTCCCTTGCTCTCTCTAAGCATGTCTTCGGGCAAGGATTAAAAAAAAATTACCTTAGAAAAATCTTTTCTCAGACATATAGGAGGAAAAGTAGTTCCTTTTTGTCATCCAGAAAGTTTCCTTGTATTCTCCTTCTTACTGCAGTATCTTTGCCCACCCAGTTCTCTCTTCCCAAACTGCCCTTGTTCCCTTTGTCCACTAAGGGACCTATCAAACATTTTTTCAAGGTGTAACCTCAGTGTCATCTCTTCTGGGTAGTCTGTCCAAACCAACTAACTCCATGAGCCAACTACTGCTTCCCTTGAGAAGCCACCTCACCTCTACACACACTATTTAAGAGTATACTGCATATTTGTTACCAGGTCTATTTCCCTATAGGTAGGGGGACCATTATTTCTCTGTTTACCTCAAAAATGTTTTCTATACTCCCGGCCTTATCATCACTCATGAATATTGGTTAGAGGAAGAATGAAAACTAACACCCACTGAACTTTTTCTATTTGTTGTGTTATTTAATTATAACAATACTGCTGAGATAGTTAATATCTTTTTTACAAGTAAGGTACTTGAGACTCAAAGCACTTATTTGCCGAGATCAGAGAGCTATTACATCATAAAGCTGCATTCAACTCAGCTCTGACTTCAATTTTTTTATGTTGTCCACCATTTCCATTAAAGTAATTTTTAGTTTCTATGCAGTTAGTTCCTTAGTAGTTGACAATTAACTAATATGGTCATATGTAATTTATAGCCTGCTCTGTTCTAGAACATAGAATGGATACTGTAATAAACGGCTGAAAGGAGTATAAATTGGTACAATACCTTAGGAGAAAGCAATTTGACAATATGCACCAAAACTCTTAAAATATGAATATCTTTTAACTTAATTAATTTTCTTTCTGGGAATCTGTCTTATATTCTAAATATGGAAAAAGTTTTATGCACAAACATGCTTGTCACAGCTATTCTAAACAAACAAGAAGAAACTGGCAAAGATTTAAATATTTGCCAGTAAAGTGTTAGTATATACATAAGTAGACATTAAAAATTAAATTTAGGGGAGGAAATTAAGACCATGAAAAAAATGTTATAGTGTTAAATGACTTAAATAGAATATGGTCACAATATATAAAATATACAATCCAAAAAGCAATAGAAAAGTACTACTTATTAAAAATGTGTTTTTGAATGAAGGGATTTCTTTCTAATATTTTAGAGTTTCCAAAATTTTCTATTAAAATTTTTTTATGTCCTGGTGGTTTTGGCTCAGTAGGTAGAGTGTTGGCCCTCAGACTGAAGGGTCCCAGGTTCGATTCCAGTCAACGGCATGTACCTTGGTTGCAGGCCTGATCCCCAGCCCCAGTCAGCATACGGGAGGCAACCAATCAATGTGTCTCTCTCACATCCATGTTTCTCTCTCTGTCTCTCCCCCTCCCTTCCACTCTCTCTAAAAAAAAATCAATGGAAAAATATCCTCTAGTGACGACTAACAACAACAAAAATTTTACAATGAAAAAAAAGCATTTTTACTCATAAGACCAAAGAAATGCAATAGGTGATATTCCCTTCAAAGGACAAGAATAGGCATTCTACAACAATTCTATGATTTCAAAACTAATAAGTAATGCTATATTGGATGAAGAGAACTCTTATTCCAATTTCAAACATTAAAGTAGATGTTAATAATGAAGACAACGTCTTAAAACAGAATCAGCATTCTTTCTTTCGAAAACCAGCAAGATTTACAGTTCCACTCAATGCTACCTTTCCCGATGATAAGAAGGGGCTGTTTGGCATTCCTAATAACAGATGCTGCCATTTGTACAGCAGACGTTTCAGCCATACTAATAGGAGGTGGCATGCAGCACTCCACGTACCTGGAAATAAAGAGTTCTGTTAATTAAAAGAGACCAATTTATAAATGTATTGTGAAAATATAAAATATATAAAAAGGAAGAAAAAATAGTACAGTAAATTCCATATTCCCAGCATGTAGACTCAATAACTACTATCATTTTACCACATTTGCTTCACACGTACACACCCTAACATGCATTTTAAGATTTCTTTTCCTGAACCATTTTAAAGTAAATTATAGGCATCAAGACTAAAAACTTCCCCATACAGCTATAAAAGATACTTTCTTCTATGTAGACATAATATCCTTACCACATCTAGTAAATTAACAGTTATTCACTAGTATCATCTAATAGTCAAACAAGCTGACAGGAAATTTGAGTTTATGGCTTTACATTGTAGTAGTAGTTGTAGTAATAGTAAAAACATCCTAAAAGCTAATAGTATTAAATATACCTACTGTGTGCCATTTATTCTCACTTAAATTTCAAAACAATGAGGTTAGGTATTACTATTATCTGCACCATTGGGGGGAAAAAATTCAGAAAGTAAGGTAACTTGCCCAGGGGTCAGAGACTGGATTGAACTAGGTCTCTCTGTCTCCAAAGTCCATGCTTTTAACTACGTTACTATATTTCCACTCACTGGGTAAGTCAGGATTTCAGTAGTATAATATATATTAGTAAAATAAATATTAAAACTGTATAGTTAAATAATTCTGGACATCAAGTCCCCAGTGTTTTATTTCACTTATTCTAATTAATAAACACCATAATGTTCAACACTTGGGCATTATAATACAAAAATTTTTTAAAAGGACATTCAAATCTTTACAGATTTTTTTAAAGAAAGCTTACAGAGTTAAGTTACCTGAGACTCATCTCTCCTTCCCCTGCCCAATATTATTTTGAATATCACACTCAGGTATTAAGCAGAATAGATGTCCTTTTGCTCTGACTCTCCCAATTAGAAATCTCTGAGTGTACAGAAATGCCCACTTTCTCTCTTGGTCACTAGGAGGCCACTTGGTCCATGGTAGCAGGAATGTACTAAGTGGTACCCAGGGCAATTTATTAACCCAAGTACACATACCCAAGTGTACCAGGGGTGACTGAGATGCCAATGAAAAATATTTTACACTTCCTGTTCACTCAGTGTTTATTTAAGTAATAAACATTTGATGTTGAAATATTTTTAAATAACTGAAACAAACAGACTAAAATTTTTAATGTTGAGTTCTAATAATTTTCAACTGTCTCCGCATCTCTTGGTTTATACTATAACGACTCTAAGTGGCTATACTACATTAATGAGAATGTATTATCTATAGGTACTGTAAGAATAATTTCAAATAAGTTCCAAGTATTTTATTTAGTAATTAACCCCCAAAATAATTGTATTATCTATGGGTACTATAAGAATAATTTCAAATAAGCTCCAAGTATTTTATTTAGTAATTAACCCCCAAAATAATTACTAAATAATACCATTTTAATTAAGAGAAGCCCTTTGACTAGGATTCAGCTTAATTACTAAATCATTAAAAGCTAAGATAAATGAAGATTAACTTATGCCAGCCGGCATGGCTCAGTGGTTGAATGTCGACCTATGAACCAGGAGGTCATGGTTCAATTCCGTCAGGGCACATGCTGGGTTGCAGGCTCGATCCCCAGCATGGGGTATGCAGGAGGCAGCTGATGATTCTCTCTCATCATTGATATTTCTATCTTTCTCTGCCTCTCCCTTCCTTTCTGACATCAATAAAAATATTTTTTAAAAAAAAGATTAACTTATAAACTGCTAAGTAAATTTATTTCAAGGTAAGCATTATAAGCATATAATACTATTAAGAAAAAAACCTAGCATAACTATTACTCACTTTATAGAATTCACATTCACTTGGAGGTTCACAAAATCTGCAGGTATGTCAATATAGCAAGCACCTGGACGACCATATATACTGCTTCTTACAGCCTAAATTTATTACAAATAGAAGAAAATGTTTTAAAAATCTCAATCCTTATTATTATATTTTACTCAAAGATAACTTAAAATTGTGAAATAAACAGTTTTAATTTTTCTGAATATCCTTAGTTGGAGAAGTAAACCATTTTAATTAAATTTGAAGTACCCTCTATTCATTTTATATACAGTTAACCCTTAAATAATATGGGGGTTGGGACCCCGATCCCTCATGCAATAAAAAAGTGTAATTTTTGATTCTCCCAAAACTTAATTACTAAATAGCTTACTGTTGACCTGATCAATAACATAAACAGTCAATTGATACATATTTTTGTATTCAAAAAGTAACCAAAAAATATATTAGGAAAATCATAAAGAAGGAAAAATACATTTATAGTACTGTACAGTATTTATTGAAAAAAATCTGCATACAAGTGGGCTGGCACAATTCAAACCATGTTGTTCAAGGATCAATTGTATTTTACAAGAGATTTTTGTTTAAAAGGAGAAAGATAAGGAAGTGAATATTCACTTAGACCGTTAAAATTGACATTCACTGGCACAATTCAAACCCATGTTGTTCAAGGATCAATTGTATTTTATAAGAGATTTTTGTTTAAAAGGAGAAAGATAAAGAAGTGAATATTCACTTAGACCGTTAAAATTGACATTCTATTACACTTTAGTCTTAGAAATTATCTACTAGGCTCTGTCGGCCAAATACTCATAACATGCACTTTCACCTGCTTCCTAATCCTATGACTTGGCAGTTTGCAGAAACTGTGATGTTGTAACATGTGTCAAATGATTTCTATAACACATGGTATTGAAAAAGCTCAAATGTAACTTCACATATAAATTAAGTTGGTAAACTAAAATTATAATATGCTGTTTAATCAACTAAGATGGTTTTATATGCATGAGTACTAATTTTCAAAAACAATCTTGCAATAGCATAAGAGAAAGGGCACTCAGGATTCTATTATATCTTTTTTTTTTTTTTTTACTTTTCCATAATTAAAAAAACTAAAGTATAGGAAAAAGTTTGTTTTTCAAAAATGACTTATTTTATCTGTTTCTATAATTAAATATAGTGGCAGTAAACATTAAAATGTACACAGCTCTTTAACAATATCATTTTTAACTATGTGAATATGTTCCAAATTATTACTCATTCAATTGAGAATAAAAATAACAACAGATATGAGCGACTGAGAAAAACCAGTTGACTTGGAGGGCTTGTAATTAAATACTGTACCTTTTCGACAATAGATGGAATAGCTTCTATGCTGCTCGGCCGGACAGAGAACTTGCTATATAATCTACAAGCTTCAACCTATATGCAAAAAGAAAATCACTTAAAATTCAGTTCACAGATCACATTACTCTTCTGAAGGAAGACAAAATGTTAAGTCATTACTTTCATGTTCCGAGGCAAGATGGAGACTATGCATTACCTGGACTATTTCTTAATAGCCTATGCAAAGCACAATCAAATTTCTGCCTCAGTATGATTCAGGAAGCAAATCAAACAAGACACCATTTTCATTTGCAAAAATAAAAAACTTATATAATACACAGCATCTACCATAGCAAAGGAAAGCACCAGGCACTTATTGCTGGTCAGAGCATAAATGGCAAGGGAAGTTGACAATGTCTTATAAAAATTAAAATGAGTATATCCTTGGACCCAGAAATTCCACAGCAAGGAATATTCAATTTAGTTGGTATGCTGTTTGGGTCATATAAATTCAGTAGTGTTAATTTTTCACTGTTTAATGTACTTTGAAGTATTATACAGAAACTGTTTCTCTTGATACTTGGTATGAAATCTACGGAATGATTGGTAATCTTAGTCCCACAAGTGTGATAGAATTAAGATTACTCTCCAACTTTCAGTCTGTTCATAATCATGTTGTTTAGTTTTAAGTATTTCCACAAGAAATAGATATTTGGATCTTTCTTTTCAAACTCCTAATTTCATCTGATAAACTTCTATTATTTTCCTTTTTGGGAAAAATATTTGTAATGGATATTATCTTCTGCTTTTTTTTTTCATCTACAAAGTTTTTGTAGTAATTTTAAATTTCCTTTACATAACTATCTGCTCTACTTATTTTTCAAATACATATATCAGCATCTTCTAAAAAACTGTTGTCATTATCTACCATTGCAATTCCCTTTCAAGAGTATAAAAATATAACATTTTCATTAACCTATATCAAGATCTAGTTTAAATCATATACAAAATTATATGTTTATATTTTGAAGTTCTCACGATTCCTAATTTACCAACACACTTTGCCTAATGGTTTTAACTGTGCTATAAATGCTCAAATATATTCATATCTTAAGTGTTAATTATCATTCACTCTCACCTATTTGCTTTCTACAACAATTCTTAAAACTGTAGCATTCACTGACAAATTCAAGTTTTTAAAAATTTTCAAATACTTCCCTTTAGCCCTCCAAAATAAAAATGAACTTATCCAGAGTCTACTGGTAGTTATTTGAGTAGGATTTTTCCTCTCAACATTTTACTTCCCCAAAGTCTGAGAGGCATAATGCAAAAACAATTTTTATTCCTATATTTTCTTGACTCTTTGGAGAACCTATGTTTAGCTTAAAAGCCTGATGAAAAGGTGTATTTCTTAGAAGACTGCTCCTAAGCAGAGCCTAAGCTTTCTTAATATCCACATTGAAATTGTCTTATAGTTCAGGAATTTTACCTTTAAATTACCTCAGGTAACTCTCTTTCATTTGAATTGTTTATTTTGTAAACAGGACTTTATTTCTTCTCCATAAATCTTTTTGCATTTTTTAATTTAAAATTTATAGTTGACATACAATATTCTTCTCCACAAATCTTAACAGTGTATAATTGTGTAACTAAACTCAAGAGGAAAATCTTAGAGGTGGGTACCTGAGGAAACTCCTGGAAGGCTCCCATTGTTTCCTGACATCTTTCAGAGGAACCACCAATCACAATCAAGGGCCTGAAATTCAAATTGTAAAATACTCAGCAGAGTGGCCAATGAATACTAAACACTCAATGAATATTAAAAAATAGAGATATAGAATGAGGATTAAATTTTCCCTTAAAAACTGTAAATTTAAAGACTTAGGAAATAACCTGATATGAGAGAACCCTTCCTCAGTTTCAGAAAAATCTGAAATTTATAGTAAATGTTTTTCTTCCATGCCCCTCTCTACTCCACCCCTTTTGGATGCTGATGCTAAACCTCCAGGCATGGCGATGTAAAATGAATTTTTATGCCCTTCCTATTATTCTCAGGATTAAGAGGAGGATAAATTTTTTTATAATGAGTTTTAAATAAATACTTTATGAATTGATGAAAAGATAACCCCCTTTAACATGATCTTATTGGTAAAGTACCAGAGATGGGACTAAGGACAAGGTCAAAGAAATATAAAAATTTTAATTTCAACTGTCTTGCCAATTATGTAAGAAAAGATGAAGAATTAAATACATTCTTGCATACTGATCTGGGATCTTTAAAAAATAATTATTCACTTAAAGAGAACTACACACACATTCAAATACATTTACAGATATACAGGAGTGGGCAAAAGTAGGTGTTTTGGTTTTGGGTCATTTTTTTTTTTTTTTTTTTTTGCCATTGTGACATTCTTTTCAGTTAATAAAGCTATTGTAGTAATCATAACCTGCATGTCTTTTTTCATACAAACAACTGTAAACTTACTCTTGCCCACACCTGTGTGCGCGCGCGTGTGTATTCAGTGTTTATTTCTAGATAAACAAATTACTGAGAGTTTTAAAACTTTCTTCCTAACACTCTTCTTAATTTAATTTTTACTAAGCCATTCTCTTAAGCACTTGATTCCAAGTCTTCCCACCCCAGATCAGCAGTTGCTCCATATGTAAAATCATGCACTGACATTCTTAAGAAAATGTTTTCAATAATAACAATCTAATTACCAGCAGTTCATGTTTGCATTTGCCATACCACCCAAGGCGTGCACGAGACCTGGGCCAGAAACAACAAGGCATACTCCCGGCCTAAAAGCAAAACAATTTGTTTTATTAAAAATAGGTCAAATGCAATACTTGATTCATACCACTTACAGTGAAACATGGTAACGTTCTTGGACTTCAAAGGAAGGGCATATAGGTCTTTTCTACAATTGGTAAAACAATTATTAAAATATTTTTTGAATTAGAAAAAAATAACCAAAAGAAAGATACTAGTCTTCGTGCAAGAAATAAGGTACCTATCACCTTCACATTGTGTTTCACTAACCTCTTCACATTTTGCTCTTATTATATCTGGCTAAGTCATGTTGACTACATACAGAAGTAAAATTTTGACTGCTGATGACATTTGTGAATGGAAAAATGAAGTGTCTTTAAAATTTTTTTTAATAAGTAAATATAATGTCAATTGATCTTTGTAAGTAATCCTGAAATACAGTGTTCTGTCCAACCTTTTAAAATTGAATTTGAATGCTTTATCCTAGATGACTTTCTAAGCTTACAACACCAAGGAAAAGTTATCTTTATATAATTCATTTTGTCATTTTACATTTATAAAGCATTTTTTTAGGAACCTCTGATTAAGACAGCCTCAAAAAGAAATAGAAATAAAACAAAGACTTTAGTTTACCTGCCTGTCAGATATCCAACCGCAGAGGCAGCGTAACAAGCCTACAAAGAAAAAACACTGGGACTTGAGCATATTGGGATCCTTATGGTAAGTATATGTGTAATAATTTATTTTTTGTTGTTGTTAATCCTCACCCAAGGATATGTATCCATTGAATTTTTTAGAGAGAGTGGAAGGGAGGAGGAGAGACAGAGAGAGAAACATCGATGTGAGAGAAACTCATTGATTGGTTGCCTCCTACACAGGCCCCAACCAGGGCCAGAGATCGAGCCTGCAACCAAGGTATGTGCCCTTGACCAGAATCAAACCCAGGATCCTTCAGTCACAGGCCAACACTCTATCCACTGAGTCAAACTGGCTATGGCTAATAATTTATTATTAAGTAAGAGACTAGAACTTAATTGTAAAGAAGGAATTGGAAAACCTTCCATTTTAACAAATAATGTTCTACCTGTAAATTTCAAATAATGGTTTAGATACTGAATCTAGTTTTTGTTTTTCAAGGAATTTGCTCATATGATCTAGTTTATTCATAATATCCTCTTACACAAAATAAACTGATGAACAAAGAAGATCCTGCCCTAACCGGTTTGGCTCAGTGGATAGAGCATCAGCCTGCGGACTCAAGGGTCCCAGGCTCAATTCCAGTCAATGGCATGTACCTTGGCTGCAGGCACATCCCCAGTAGGGGGTGTGCAGGAGGCAGCTGATCGACGTGTCTCACTCATCGATGTTTCTAACTCTCTATCCCTCTCTCTTTCTCTCTGTAAAAAATCAATAAAATACATATTTTTAAAAAAGATCCTAAGACATTGAAGTATGCAACAGAGTGATGTATTTCAGAAGGAAGGGGTAGGGGGCGGGCAGAGATTAACCAATAAACTTATATGCATATAAGAATAGCCCATGGACAGACAATAATTTGGGCAAGGCCTGGGAAGGGAACCAGCGTGGAGTTGAAGGGGTCAATGGGGAGGAAAAAGGGGACATCTGTAATACTTTCAACAATAAAGATAATTTTTTAAGTGAGAATAAAAATTAAAAAAAGGAAGTCCTGGCACATGCTACATGAATGAACCTTGAAGACATTATCCTAAGTGAAATAATCCAGCCACAAAAGGACAAATACTGTATAATTCCATTTAAATGAAGTATCTAAAGTAGTCAAATTCATAGAAACAGAAAGTAGAATGGTTGCCAGGGGCTATGGGAGCAGGGTAAATGAGGAGTTATTTAATGGGTACAGAGTTCCAGTTTCTCTAGAAAAAGTTCTGGAGAGCTGTTGCAAAACAATGTGAATGTACACTTCAAAAATGGTTAAGAGCCGTGCATTTAATAATGGTTAAGATGGTAAATTTTATATGATTTTTTAACCACAATTAAAAAATACATACATGTATAAGTATACAAAGTGATTCAGAGGACCAGGGCTCTAAATGAAAAGAAATTTTAGGAATACCTTATCAATTTCTGCTTTTATGTTCCTTTTTATGTATATACAAGTGCGATAAAAAAAATCCATGCCTAAATATGTCTAAGTAGATTTTAATAAGTATAAAATAAAACTCCTAGGTAATAAAAAATATGTCCTCTTACAACTGCTTAAATATCTTCAGAATCAATAGAAATGTGCCCTTTTTTATTCCTAATATCAGTAATTTGTGTTTTTTTCTTTTATTCTTCATCAGTCTTCCTAGGGATTTATCAAATTTATTAATCTTTTCAAAGAACCAATTTTTGACTTCACTGATTTTTTTTGTTGTTCATTTGTTTTCTATTTCATTTATTTTTGCTCTTTTGTTATTTTACTCCTTTAATTTGGGGTTTAATTTGGTTTTCTTTTTCTAGCTTCTTAAAATGTAAACTTACAGCATTGGTTTTTTATTTACTTTACTAATAGATTCATTTGAAACTATTTCCTCTAAGAACTGCTACCACAAGTTTGGTATTCACATTTTTAATATATATTTTTATTGATTTTATAGAGAGAGGAAGGGAGAGAAAGAAACATCAATGAGAGAGCATCATGGATTGGCTGCCTGCAGGGGATGTAGCCTGCAACCCAGGCATCTGCCTTGACCAGAAATTGAACTGGTGACTTCTTGGTGCACTGGCTGGGCTGGCAATGGCATTTTTTCATTATCACTCAATTCAAAATTTCCATTGTGATTTCTTCTTCAACACATTGGTCCACAGTGATGTCTCCTTTTTCATTCGTGATCCTAGTAATTTGTATTTTTGTTCTCACATTCTCTAGTTAAGTCTTCCTTTGACTGCTGCAAAAAGTCAGGTTGACTGAGGGGCACATGCATTGGGAATGTCCTACAAGCATCTCAAACTCATTATGTCCAAATTGGGACTCATTACCTTTTCTCTTCAAATTGGCTCTTCCCTCTGTATTCCCCATCTGAGTCAGTGGCACGATGATCCACCTAGTCAGTCAAGCCCAAACCTAGGAATCACCCCCAGAACAGCCTGTTCTCCCCTCCCTAGCTGGTTAATGTCTATTCATCCTTCACGACAGCTTGGCATCCTCTCTTCCAGGAAACCTCGGAAATCTTAGGCTGAGCAGGGTATTGTTTCCTGGACTTCCACAGCACCCTGGATCTATCTCAATCACAGTACTTACCACATTATTATAAAAACAGTTTGTTTGTGTCTATCTCCACAGCTAGGTTATAAGCCCCTCAAGGACAGGAACTGTCCATCTCCATATCCAGTGTCCAACAAAGTACCTGGGACCTAAGGAGGCCTGCAACTAAGCTTATGGGGACTAATAAAGCTTGAAGCTGCCTTTCTTTTTTTTCTTTTTTTATTGACTTCAGAGCACAGAGAGGAGAGTGGGAGAGGAAGAGGGAGAAACATCAATGATGTGAGAGAATCATTGATTGGCTGCCTCCTGCACGTCCCCCACCAGGGATCAAGCCCATAACTTGGGCATGTGCCCTGACCGGAATCGAACTGTGATCTCCTGGTTCATAGGTTGACGCTCAACCAATGACCCACACCAGCTGGGCTCAAGCTGCCTTTCTGACACATACTCTACACTGCCACAAAATTATCTTTCTAAAGTACAAATCTAACTATGTTATCCACCTATTTATAAAAATCTTTACAGTCTCACCTAGTGCCTACTGAAAAAATTCCACACTCCTTTTCCAACTAGAGACTATCTACAGCCTCTCCTGAGCCTCCATATCCAGGCTTACAGGCCATCATGCCTTTAAGCTATCTTGATGGACCAGTATGAACCAACATTGCTTCCACAAGTAATCTCTGTCCTACTCAAAGAGAGCTGGTCACCCTCTATATGTTCTATCCATTATACATATGTCTATTCTAAGTTACTATACCTGATAAATGTTTTCAGTGTGTCTTGCTGTCTTGTTCTCACCTTCCCAGACTGTGATCAACTTGAAGATCAAGACTAAACTTCAGTGCTTCATTATATCTCCCAAGGGTAAGTAACACAGCACTTGGTATATAGTACACACTCAATAAATATGTTCTGTGTAAAGAAACTAGACATCCCTCCACTAGGAAAAAAAGTAAAATATAAGTCCTATTAATAGGTCATTAGCTCCATCTTCTCACACAGATGAAAAAATAGAATGTTATTCCAACGAAGAAAAGTAGAAGGTAGAAGCAACACAAACTCAAGACCTATTCGTTTTAAGATTTAAAAACGCACCACAATTCTCAAGTCTTACAGATAAGGAATGTCATTCAATGAATAAAAAATGTACTAAGCAGCCACATCATGCCAAAGCCCTAACCAAGCCAGGTACTATGGGGACAAAGAAATGAACCACGATTCCTGCTTTGCAGGAACTCAAATCTGAGGGCAGAGGAAGGGCCCCACTTAAGGAGATCAAGGTTGCTGTCTGGGAAAGAGGTGGCAAGCACCTGAGTTAGAGGGCAGCAGTGGGAGTGGAAAGCAGGACTAGTTAGCTTTAGATGACTGACGTTGCAGAAGTAGATTCTTTTTTAAATTTCTTTATTGATTAAGGTATTACATGTGTCC